ATACCACAGCGCATTATCCAAATCTTCGAGGAGGTCGTTGATCAACGACATGGGATACACCGTCAGTCTCGTCAGGATGTTCACTACCTCGTAGTCGATACAGAGGCGGATGTCGACTCCGTTAGCGTTGATGATGACTACGATGGGTGATGCCCAGGGCGATGTGGAGTTGGTGATGATCTTTGGCGACAGCAGTCCCTTGAGGAGTATCGCCAGCTTCTCGCGGAATTACGGCGCTACCCGCGTTCAGCTACCGGTTTAGCTGTTGTGACATCAATGCCGCAAATAGCTTCGTAGGCGGCTGGTGGTAGAGCGGTACCGGCCCCTATCAGCCAGTGGCTTCCCTTTCAGATGATGCGACGCAGTCGCTCACGTTCCTCCGGGGTCGCGTGCGGATCATCTACTCGTGTATCATCGATGGTGAGTTTCCTTTGTGGTATCTTCTACTTCCGGCAGGACAGCCATCTTATTATCGATGTCTTCAAGGAAGATATCTCCGCCTTCATGATAGCAGACAGCGTCATCCATGTCGTTGTCAGCTTCTCCTTCTGGTCCAGCTAGTGTGCCTTGCTGTTCCATCGATCGCGGCTACTCCCGGTTTCTCCCTTTGGCTCAGTCGTATTGGTATGACTCTCTTCCTCCGATTGAAACACAGCCGATTCTTCGTCCGAGGTCCCTTGTGCGGTGTTCGACTCCTTTGCAGGCACTGACAGCACGATCATCGCCTTCCGGTGTTCTTGTCTACCCGATAGGATCTTGTTCGGCAGCTTGTATTGGGGCCTGTCTACCATTGGTGCTGTTGCGGTTCGACCACCTCGCTCACAGCCAGGTGGCTTGCAGAGACAAGTTTTGCCACTCAGCGTATCCCCGTGACCCGATCGAGACAAAACCTGGCATTCGCGGTACGTGGTCTCATGCCAGCAGATACCGACTCGAGTATCGCGTTCTAACGTCACTGATCGTTCTGACACATTTGTTATACGCAGGTACTGTGTACGGCCTAGTCCCTTGATTGCGGTCGGTACCCACTGTTCTCCACGGATGACCCACAGTTTTTGTTTATCAGGCGCAGGTCTGCGTATGGCGATCTCCACTGATCCTGCAACCAGAATCTTGTAGTGTTGATCGGAGGTGATCAACCTTGAGCTCCCGTTAAAGATCTGACGACGTCCGGACAGCTGGATCCTTACTTCGTCCGGGAGACACAGTGACCCGTCGGCCATGTCAAGGCGGATTCCTGCCGGTACCATGAAATCCATCCCTAATATCGCCTCTTGACCTGACAGTTCTCCGGCCCAAACGTGAAAGTAGTAGTGGTACGCTCCCGCGAGCACGATCTTGACCGTGTACGTACTTATGTCATATACGCAATTTCTCGAAAGCCAACACGCTCTTGCTTTGGGGTGTCGTCTATACCGCATCTGACCTTACAAGCAAAGGTAGAATCCACAATAAAGACTTCACCTCCAGAGTCGAAAAGGATCGTGGCCTTTTTGTTGCTGATCTTGGCGGTTGACTTCGCTTGCTTGAGCCATTTACCTGGAGCGTGATACTTCCAGTACCCTCGCGATTCTCCTGGCCGTAGGTCCAGTTTCACGATCACATCTGATCAAGAATAATCATTATGTGGAGTACCGGGCTCACGGTTTCGTGTAAGATTGCCCTCGAACAAACCCTTCGCCGCCGAATCGATGGCTGCGTCAGGTATTTCCCCGTGACTTGTAGTAGCGTATCTCAGGCCAGGGTGGAGATGTAGCTAGAGTATAGCCTTGTTGTTGCGGCGTGTGTCTTAATAGACGTGTGTCAGTTCTGACGACGACTTCCGGCCTTGTTCACCTTCAGTCGTGGGGTTTTGTCCGTGGTCGTGCGGTGTTATCGGGCCGGCGTTTCCAAGGGGGCGTGGGGCGTTATCTGGCTGTGGCATAGTGCCTCCTATTTTTTTCCGACGAGTTAGATAACGCTCCCCAAAAAAACGTGCCTACACCTTGTCCCGGGAGAGCAGGTCAAGGGCTCTCG